ATTCAATGCATACCTCTTATGCCCAATACTAACCACTCTTTGATTGATTGATAGTATCGTTGAGTTGTGTGTCGAGAGTGAGAAAGGGATCACCGAAAAGATGCTTCAGATAGCGATGAATGGCGTCAACCCTTTGGTCAGAGCCGATGCCGTCAACCAATTGTTGGCTCAAAACAAGATCGAGATCTGCAAACAGGGGAACCAATTGCTCTTCAGAATCAAAGACAACAACACCACTAAAGGCATGTCATCACAGCATCCAATTCAATGACTAATTGATTGATTGGATTGTCATCTCATGACATCTCCCGTTAGGTTCCGATGAAGAAGAGAGGATTGTTTACTCGATTGTGGAGAAGGCGTCTAATAAAGGCATTTGGATCCGAGATATTAGGTTTCAGTCAAATCTCTCGCAAACACAACTCAACAAAGTGTTGAAGAATATGGAGACCAAGAAATTGATTAAATCTGTCAAATCAGTGACCGCTTCCAAGAAGAAGGTGTATATGCTTAACGACATCGAACCGGACAGGTCTGTGACCGGCGGCTCGTGGTATAGCGGAAGTGACTACGAGTCCGAATTCATCGAAGTCTTGGCTCAACAGTGTCTTAGGTTTCTCTGGGAAAAGGTTTGTCTCCTTTTAGTCTCTCTTTTTTCTAAAACTAAACAAAATTTAAATTTAAAGTCAAATAAAGCGAAAGAAAGTGATTTGAATCCGATTTCACGCCAAAAGAATTCATTTGTCACTTCAGCCGAAGTCCTCAATTTCATCAAAGATCTGGGAATCAGTAAAGTAGAGCTCAGTGTCGATGACATCGAAAGCATTCTCAATACACTTATCTTTGACGGCAAAGTTGACAAACATGTGTCGCTCGACAGCACCGGCAAAGACACCAACAAATTATATCGTTATATTGAATCCCTCGGCAAAGACACCGGTTTTATGAGAATGCCGTGCAGTGTATGTCCTGTCTATAAGGACTGTCACATGGATTCACTCATTTCTCCCCTAAAGTGTCTTTACCTCAAAGAATGGTTCGATACGTGATATTATTAGTGGTATTCATTTATATTCACTTTTATCAATAAATATCATAGTTTTCAATATTCAATGTATCGTTTGAATACAATCTGCTGTTTACATGTAAATTGATTTAATAACTTTTATTCAAAATGCATTCATATTTGATTTATAATATAGTTTACAATGTTTGTGAAAAATGAAATGAATTTGTTTTTAATCGAAAATTAATTAATATATCTAAAAAACCAAAAAAAAGTATATATTTGATGATAAAGTCATTGTTTACGAAATCCTTTGAGAATGGGGTAAATGTTGTCAAACGCTTCATAGATCTCTGTCCGTACTTTTGCTCCTAATATACGAGACAAACAAATAATATATTAAAATAATGAAATGAATTAAAAAATGAGACGAATTACCGGTTAATACGACTTTTCCGGACACGAAGATCAAGAGCACAATACGGGGTTTAACCATACGGTATATGAGACCCGGGAATAACTCGGGCTCATAGCTGGAGAACTGGCTGTGTGTGAGGACGAGTCCTTCGAGACGGATCGGGAACTTCACATCACAACTGCCGACCATATTCTGGATCTTGAAATCAGAAAACTTTGCCTTCAATTCAAAATAAAGAGAGAAATTAATTTATTTTCAATTAAAAATAAGAAATTCAATTGTGTTTTACATCGAAACCAAGTTTTTGGACAATTCGGGCGTATTTCCTGGCGGCCAGTCGTGACTGTTCCTCACTCTTAGCACCCGTACAGACCATTTTGCCTGAACTGAAGATCAAAGCCGTAGTCCTGGGCTCTCGTATTCGCATAATAACGGCTGCGAAACGCTTTGGATTGTATTCAGCATTTCTGGCGTGAAGTGCTATCTTTTTGAGGTCCAGACGACAGCCCAGGTTTACGGTCGACACTATGTTCTGGAGCTGCGGCACAATCCCGGGATCGGTGGACAGCGGTGTGACGGGAGTCATGGGCGTCATCGGTGTCATCGGACCGGACGGACCCACGCCTAACACCGACGATGGCATATATGAGGGAGTGTTGGCAGTGCTCTGAATCACTGATGGAGTGTTGGGTCCGGCCATGCGTTTGGAGGGCGTGAGGGGTGTGTGGGGTGTGTGGGGGGCGGCGGGTGTGGAGGCGCTGGATGTGGTGGACATGTGGTCGTGATGTGGGGGTTGAAGGGGCGACGGCTGGACGAGTTGGCTCTGCAGAAACATCAGGTGCTGCTCTTCGGCCGGATCTGCCATCTCGTTGTGCGGGTTCACCATCGATGGCATCGCGTTGTACGAGTGGTTTGTGCCGTCCATATTGTCACCGATTGTCTTCAGATGTCTTCACCGATCGTTACAATTGTTGACAATTATTGTTAGGTTTAACCGGTTTTTGAGAGACAATTGATTTTGAATCGCAAACTCAATGCAATTGCGAGCAAAGCATTCAAATAGCAATCACTCAATCACTGGTCATATGATTACTGAAAACACATTTAAATGTAAAATCAATTCATTTATGAAAAATCAATTGAAAATCCGATTAAATTGTATTCAAAACACAATTGAAATGTTTGTTAAGCAATGAAGTGATG